CGTCGGGGGTTGGGGGGCGGGCGGCGGCGGTGGCGGTGGCCGGATGGGAGGCCCGGCAGCGCCTAGCCCCGCGTCTCTGCCGTGGGGAGCAGGTGACCCTCGGGCTCGGGCGTCTCGGCCTCCAGTCTCGGCACCTGGAGGGCCCCAGGCCAAACTCTGAGTGTCCAGACGAATGGGGATCTGGGGAGCGAGCTCCTAAGGGCTTGGGGGCTGATGGGCCTCTTCAGTGAGCCGTTCTTATAAATCAGTCTTAAAATCTTCCCGCAGACCTGCTCTTGGAGATGCAGCAGCCATGCTGGGAGGATTGCTGCATGGGAGCCAGTGTCTCTGAGCCTCAGTTTCCTATTGTGTACAGGAAGGGGTCGGGATATAGGATGTTAGGCTTTCTAAAGAGCTTTCTAATTCTTAAAAAATAATCATAATAAAATTGTTAGAAAGAGAAAATGAAGATTTTTAAATGTCTACCTCCAGGCTTAGGTCTGCAGGGCGCTATATAATGCTGGGTGAACCACACTGGGTCATACAAGAAAATGGTACAGCTTTCTTTATAAGTCAGATATGTGTGGTTAACGTAGTTTTCTGCTAATATGGCATGAATCCTGGAGACTCCATTTACTTGGGATTCATGGGGTAGGAAGGGACAGTTAAATGTTATAAAATACAGTTCAGAAAAATTCTACTCCCCCCCCCCACCACGAATGGAGAATACAAGCTTATTAATGTTAGATATATACATTCCTCTTTTTAGCCACTTCTTTCTGCTTAGGGTAAAACCGAGACATTATGAAATGATAGCAAGGGGCTTTTATTTTGGTGCGGGGGAGGGGACATGGCCCTGTGGCCCCTCGTTTCTCCATAGTCCTCCAAATCCGGAAGTGGAGAGAGAGACAGTCTAATAATGGAGAGCAAAGAAATGGTATTTTCCTTTAGAGCTCTGATTAGACTGGTTGGTTAAGATGTCTTGCTCTGCTGGCTTTATTTACTGTACTGAAGCTTGTTTTCATTGTTTTGGTTAAACCCCCTATATTACTCAGGGAGACTAACTTGGCCTGAGGGGATTTTTTTTCCCTTCTTCCTACTAGTTGTAGGCAAATACCCTAATCCCCTCTGAGGATGGGGCCATAATGTGTCTATTGTGACACATCTCGCTAGTCACTTTCCCTGTGTCTGAGGCTCCTATCCCAGAGGGAAGTCCAGTCTTGCCCTCACCTGTGAGGAGTTGAGAGGTAGCTTGGTTGTTCATAAGCCTTCAGGTTTTGGGGTCTGTGAATCCCTTGAAAGTGTTTGCAGAATTTCGTGTATGTGACCATGTATGTTTTTTGAGGGGGAGAAGCCATTTGCTTTAATTAGGTTTTCAGAGGGAACCCTGACCCTAGTTTTAAATGGAAATGTCTTCACAGGCAGGCCTTCCAAGTCTCCCATGAGAGAACCTCCCACAGATCTTTGTTTAATCTCCAGGGCTCTGGATTTTAGAGGTAAAAAGCGTTCAGAGCACCGACCAGCTGCCTCAGTTGACTGCTGAGACCTGGAGGTGACCTACAGTGTGAGCCGAAACCAGGGCCCTGGTGCCAGAGCTGTGTGACCTTGGGCAGTTACTTAACCTCTCCAGGCCTCAATGTCTTCATGTGCTAAGTGTGGACAATAACTCTGGGTTATGTGAGGATTAAATGAGATAACTCTTTAAAATGCTTAACACAGCTCATGGCACATAGTAAGTGCCAAATAATCGTTAGTATCATCCCACTAATTAGCTCTGAATTTGCCAAAACAAGGTCTTAAACCTTTAATCCTTGGTTTAAAAATGTAATGCTGTTTCAGTTAAGAGACCCACAAGTGAGTGAGTGAATGAATGAATGAATGAATGTGCCAGAAGATACAAATAGGTTTAGATGATCTTTGGTAAATGATCGGAGAAACTTCATTATTTACCCTAATTTTTTTTCTCATAACTCAACAGTCTATATTGTTTGTTCATGCAGCAGACATTTATTGAGCACATACTATATTCCAGACTGGACACCAGAGATATGTTAATTTTCAAACAAAGAAAATGGGATTTCAATTACTTTAAACATCACTTGTATATGGTACTTAGTGATTGGCATCGAGTGAATCCACTGAAGATATCTGGTGAGGAAATAGGCAAACATTGTTATTGGAGAGATTCTGGTCAGTTCCAACAAACTGTTGATTGTCTGGATAGGTAAATACAGAACTAGTCACTTTTAAGATCTTGGCTCCATGTCCCTGAGGACACAAGAATTCTCTCAGCGTGGATGTGTGAAGGTGCGGGACAGGGAGAGTGCGACTCGTTGAAATCCCAAAAGGAATCAATCTTTATTTTGCTTCCAGTCCCCACCCACCTTGACTCAAGTCACAAAACTGAGTGACTTCGGCTCTGTTTCCAGGCCTCCTTCCTCCTCGTTCCCCAACTCACGAGCCATAGGGTTCCTCCCTATGTCAAGGTCAACCCATAATGTAAAAAACTCTTTTAGGAACTTCATTGATGTCAACAATTCAGCTTTTATCAGAGTCTGTGAAGCTTAAGATCATTGTGTATCCTCGCTGTTGAACACAGTGAGGGAAAGAACATGGGCACCATGACTGCCCGATAATTTGAGTAGAGGCAGCGGGGCTGGATGTCAGGTTCACCCGTGAGGTAATTCGGTCGACAGCACTGGCCCCCGCCAGGGATCACCTCCCACCTTGCTGGGACTCTCGGGATAGAAACAATGCCTGACGAAATTGTGCTGTTTTTCAGAGTTTATTTAATGCTCAATGCTCAAAGAGCTCAGTGAGGTAGGAAGTGTGTCCGATAATCATCTTCATTTTATTGATGAAGACTGAGAACAGAGAGGTTGAATAACCGGGCCAAGGTGACACAGGTAGTAATAGATGTAGACAGGCCTAAGAGCCAAGTGTTCTGATTCAAGGCCAGGACCCCTTCTCCTCTCTGCCCCTGCGACTCATGAGGTGGTTCCTGTGGAACGTGTATTATGGAAAAGGAGGTATTCTATAAAGAGCAGAAGGTGGCGTGACCAACTTTTACTTGCTAACAGTAGTTTTATAATTGAAGTCCGAATCAGTGCTAGGGTCTCAGAAAAGATTCATGTCCACGGAACATACCTGATTGCTACCAACGCCCTTTTGATGTGGGCGCTTATCTTTGGCATTTATTTTGCCAGCGGGACACGGTGGCCTTCAATCCTGCCCTTTCCTTCAACACAGGCCCAGCAGCTGGACATGGAGACTCAGCGCTCATCGCCTCTGTCATTCCCCAGTGTTCTGCCGGAAGAACCCCCGCGACAGGGCCCTGCCGGTCTCCCCCGAGACACTCTGTTCCAGTCCCGCGTTCTTCCCCCCAAAGAAATTCCTTCTCTGAATCCCACCATTCCCCGGCAAGGCTCCCTACCCCACACTCCCAAGCAAGAGACCTCGGGCCGGATGCCACACGTGTCCCAGAAGGGACCCTCACTCCAGTACCCTGCTGTCCCTGAGCAAGAGACGCAGCGCCAGGGCCCCCTGACTTCCCAGGAGACCCAGTATCCACCCCCAGCTGCTGCTGATCAGGAGGTCTCCCTTCTCTCTCAGTCCACCCATCAAGAAGCCCCACCCCGCTCCCCTGAAGTTCCTGAGAAAGATCCCCTCACCCTGTCCCCCACAGTTCCCGAGACCAACATGGACCCCCTGCTCCAGAACCCAGTTTCCCAAAAGGACACCCCCTTCCAGGTCTCTTCTGCAGCCCAGAAGGACACGCCACTGCCGACGGCGGAGATCACCCGCTTGGCCGTGTGGGCTGCAGTCCAGGCGGTGGAGAGGAAACTGGAGGCCCAGGCCATGCGGCTGCTGACGCTGGAGGGACGGACGGGGACAAATGAGAAGAAGATAGCCGACTGCGAGAAGACGGCCGTGGAGTTTGCGAACCACCTGGAAAGCAAGTGGGTCGTGCTGGGGACGCTGCTGCAGGAGTACGGGCTGCTGCAGAGGCGGCTGGAGAACATGGAGAACCTGCTGAAAAACAGGAACTTCTGGGTCCTGCGGCTGCCCCCGGGCAGCACGGCGGAGGCCCCCAAGGTAGGCCTTTTACTTCAGTTTCTAACGTGCCGGCTTATCCTTCAGGGCTGCTGGAGGACTCACTGTGTGACATTTGTGATTTCAGGCGTCCCGGTCACTTGAAAATGATGGAGTCTGTTTTTCAGAGCAGGAGTGGGAGAATCTGGAGGACTGGCAGAAGGAGCTCTACAGGAACGTGATGAAGAGCAACTACGAGACTCTGGTCTCTCTGAGTGAGTGCCGGCCGCCTCCCTGGAGCTCTCGTGGACACCTGCCGTTCAGGACCACGCCTGCAGAGGCGGCTGGAGAACATGGAGAACCTGCTGAAAAACAGAAATTTCTGGATCCTGCGGCTGCCCCCCGGCAGCAATGGAGAAGTTCCTAAGGTAACCCCGTCCCAACTGGGGCTCCCAAGGAGCGATCTCAATTGGGATGTGTTTCAGGAACTTAGTTTGATATAGAAGAAGGGGAAAGCGATGGTCAAGAAGGAGAAAAATATAACAACAACACCTAGTTGCCAGCAGCGTTTCCCAAAGAACAGGACGGCCACAGTCGAATTATTTCTCCTGCTGATAAAAGCGTAGGTTAAGAGATTGGAGAAATGTCCTAGTGATCGGATTGTCAGTTGAGAAGGGCGTTCAGCCCAAGATGTCTGAAAGGACAAGGAGGCAAAGCGCAGGCCAAGTGACAGATGTATCCAGGCTTCACCGTCAGTTCCCCGGGAGTGTGGATCAGCGGTTCACCGTTGGTGCAGGGAGAGCTCGGAATAGGATGGGGCTCTGTCCGGCTCAACATTTTTATCAGCTGATTTATAAATCACGTTAATGCCGGTAAAAATGTGATTTCAAGAGGGATCCTAAAAAACTATAGAGAATAGTTAGGTTTTAATATCCCAAGATTCCGAGAGACCTTGAATGTGGACCAGACTTCCTCCCGTCCCTTTGTGCTGCTGCCTCTTCCACAGCCTCACGCAGGAAGCAGCTCGGACTGTGTCCTCTAGGCCGGCGCTTCTCCGGTTTTTTTGTGTGCGTGAGTCGCCTGGGGATCTTACTCAATGCAGAATCTGAGTTAGTGGATCTCGGGTGGGGCCCGAGAGTCTGCATTTCTAGCAGGTTCCCTGACGGTGCTGTTGCTGCTGGTCTACGCACCATGCTTTGCAGCCGCGAGGATTATCCTGTTAGAGAGGAAAAGGACCAGACTTCTAGAGAGGCCCTTGGTGACACCCCAGAACTGCTCCTTACTCCTTAGGGCTTTCCCACTCCCGTCCTAGGAAGAGGTGTTCGAGCCAGGCCAGGGCGTTGGGGCCGTTCCTTGCTTTGGGATTTGGCAGCTGAAGGCCTGTGACTGCCCTCCAGTTGGTCCCAGCTGAGTTCGTCGTGTGTTTTCAGGTCCCTGTCACGTTCGATGACGTCGCCGTCCATTTCTCGGAGCAGGAGTGGGGTAACCTGTCCGAGTGGCAGAAGGAGCTCTACAAGAATGTGATGAGGGGCAACTACGAGTCTCTGGTTTCCATGGGTAAGGAGGCTTTCCACGCAGCACACGTAATCCTCTAGTCCTCGGGCCTCTGGAGGGGAGCTAGGACAGGTGCGGGCACTCCTGCCTTACTGCTCAGGCGACTGAACACTTGTCATCTGTTGAGGCCTTAATGTTCCTTGGGTTCCTGACCCCATTGTGCAGAGAGGAGGCTGTGACTCAGGGGGGTCCTAGGTCCGCACCAGGAAGTCACAATTTCACTGAGCTCTCTCTTACCCCACACTCTGTGGAGTCTTGTTTTCACTAGATAACAGCTTTTAAGGATGAAAACCTGGAAACACTATGGTTTTCTACGTATCCTTTTCTCTGATATGGGTCACTGTTTGGGCATACAAAAAAGTTAGAAAATTTTAAATACTCTGATGTATAGAAATGTTGATTCTCACTAGAATTGTTAATTTTCTACACACATATCTCTCCATAAGATAACTGTTCTCTTTTAAATTTGTTTCTTTCCTTTTAAAGTATCTACATAACCATGACAATTCAGCAACTTAGATTTATATAATAAAGAGCAACTCCCACCCTCTGACCAGTACCACTCCCCAGAGGTAGCCTTTGAACCCACTGGCTTGTGTGGTTTCTCATCTATTTTTTTATGCGTGTGCAAACACACACAATGCATGCACTCGTGCACACGCAGTTTGTGGTTTGCACAAATGGGACCATACACTTATTTTACCTAATGGTGAGTCCCAGACAGCTTTCCATGGCAGCACGCCTGGGCCCGCTTGGGAAGACGAACCGCTGGGCGTTTGGTGAGCGGCGGCCGGGCCCTGGTTCCTCACCGCTGCAGTATTGCCATAAGCATCGCCGTGGCTCTGCACGCACCTGCGCGTTCGGTGGCACGCACTCCCAGAAGCAGGTGTGCGGAGCAGAGGGTACACATTTACACTGTCTCAGCCACTGCTGCGGCGCCCTCCCGAGGCTCTGTGTCTGTGCGACTGTGTGTGACATTGCCACTTCTCCACACCCTAGCCCAGTCGATGTTCATCTATTTTAAAGATTTGTCTTTTCTGAGGGGTGAAAACGACACCTTATTATTTTAATCTGTATTTCTTTGATGACTAGCGAACTTGCACATCTTTTCATATGTTTACCGGTCATTTGCATTTATGCTGTGAATTGCCTATTCATATCTCTGCTTTTTTATTCTTTACTTGATTGCAGAAGCTGTTTGTATGTAATTATGGATATTAACCTTTTGCCTTACATATGACAAATGTGAGTGTAATAATATTTCCTCAACTTTCTTCATCTTTTAACTTTATTTCCAAAGAACTTTAAACATTTTTTAATGCAAAGAAATCTATCAGTGTTTTGTGTCGTGGCTTCTAGACTTTATCAGGATTAGTTTTTCACTCTATAAAATTTCAGATGTCTTGTGCCTTTGTCATGAAAAAAAGCTGAGCAGGCATCGGCCACCTGTGAGCAACAGGAGCGACAGGTGGCCGAAGGGCTGCTTTCCATTGGTGATAGGCAGTGCCTCACTGCCGGTCCCCGCAGGGAAGGACACAGAATGTGATTAACACACACGTGTGTGCACGTGCACGCACACAGTGGGCTCCAAGAAAAGGGCCAGAAACTTGACCCATTTCTTTTCCAATATGGTCAGCCCCAGATCGGGGAGCTGCTCTTGCTCTCACCCTCGCACAGGTGACGCCTTTGCAGCATCCGGTGCGACCTCACCCCATAGAATGTCTTCTTCTTTCCTTCCTCCTGCCCAGACTATGCAATTTCCAAGCCAGACCTCATGTCGCAGATGGAGCGCGGGGAGAGGCCGACCATGCAGGAGCAGGAGGACTCAGAGGAGGGCGAGGCGCCTGCAGATCCCAGTGCTGGTGAGTGGCTGCCGTGGCCCAGAGCTCTGCCTTCTAGGTCTTCAGCGCGGGGCGTTACAGGCCAGGGTAGGCCCTGCACGGAGACCTTGGCCAGCCGTGTGCGGGAAGGAGGCTCGTCTTCGGGTGCCGGGCCTGCCCAGGGCCTCCATGACTGCCTGGCTGATAAATAGGTATGCTGTTGGGGTCCTTGTCTCGGGGAGTTTTTGACATTACCGAGTGTCACCACACTTTCTGCGGGAAACAAAACAATTGAAAGAAAGGTGGTCACTTGTCAGGGTGCCCGTGCATCCTGGAGCTCCCTGGAGAAGGGCCACGTCCCGGTCCTGCAGCCAGTCAGTGGAAGGATAGGGACAGACATGGACTTGACCCGAAGTGTCCTACCATGTGCAGGACAGTGTCGAGACGAGGCTGTTAGATGGCGGCCGCGGAGAAGTGCCAGGCAGGACTGGCCGTGGGCTCCAGTGCCGACCCCGGCGTCGGGCTGCCTGCCTTTGAAGCCCGGCCGCTCTGCTCGCTAGCAGTGTGATTTCCAGTGCTCGGCCTTTTCGGAGGCCTCATTCCTCGTCTATTAAACGGGACGGGTACTGATATCTGGGGCCTGCCGTGGTGACTGGAATGCAGCAACGGTCTGGTAAACACCAGCTACCACCATTCTGCGTAGGGTGTTGCCCCTTCCACACCGGCCACCGCAGCAGCCTGCACGCTTGCTCCGCGGTGCTGTCACGGTCTGTGGTCCGTTTTGGGAGCTCCTGGTCTGGAGTGGCCTTCAGACCTGCGTCGCTCACCTCGCAGGCCCTCGATGAAGGGGGACCTTCTCTCTTTCAGCCTCACACCACTGGTGGTGATGGGGGATAATCCGTCCACTGTGGGGCCAACAGTCAGGTCTTGTTATGAAGCCATGTCATTGGTTCTGGGACCTGTAAACTGGCTCCAAGGACGAGGCCCAGAAACATGGATGCGAAGTCAACCCCATGGACTAAGAGCGAAGGCAGCTTACGGAAGAGACAGAATCCTGTGGAGAAATAAGTGCTGGTGTCTTTCAGAGAAATCAGTGTCATTACGTTCTAGAGATTTAAATCAAGGGGAAAGGCTGACGCTGAATTCATCTGGCAGACAAAAAAGATGGATTTAAAAGTAGATGAGAATTGGGGGTAAGGGATAAAATGTGGCACATGGCAAAGTGATCTTTTGTTTGGGGGAAAGTAACTTTGAATTGTTTGGCCACATTCAATACGAAGGGCCAAGTGGGAATAGATTCAAAGCAGAAGAAATAAGAAAGAAGGCAAAGAATGAGACCGTGAGAGAGATAATTGATGGTCAGAATCTAAGATCCAGTGTGATGTCCCAGTGCAGTTTTGTAGTCCAGGTGCTGCTCTCCCAGCACCTTCTTAGAAGGGCTGGAATGGCAGCATCGTGAGCTCGTCACACCCTCGTCATAGATGGGCCTCCCCCAGAGTGGGGCCAGAAGCGAACGGCAAGTAACGTCACCTACCCTGCCCCGGCCTGGGTTCTGGCACATGCACATCCACGGCCTGAGCTTCTGTGGGGGCGGGGGCCGCAGAGAGGCCGCCTCAAAGGGCTGGCACGCGCCCTTTGTCCCAGTAACCATCTCCAGCTACTTGGAGCCTGCACTGAGAGGGGGGACAGGAGAGGACATGGGAACTACTGCTTCATGGCCTCAGACTCGCACCTCTGTGTGAAACCAAAGGCCCTGGCCTCTGGAGAGCAGGGCGGTTCTGCGCATCTGCACTTCCTGCGCCCCGAACGTGCCGATGGTGACCTGGCTGTCCATGTGTCCATGTGTCTTCTCCCTTACAAGGGCGGCTGCAAAGTCAGCCCTGGGCCAGACCCAATGATGTGGTACCAAGGGGAAAAGTCTAGAAAATTGAGTATTTTCGTAGTTCTCAATAGACCTAACATGGCAATTTTATTAACTGGCTAAGTAAATTCATTCACGAGACTATTATCTATGGTTTAGTTCCCTAAGGGTGAGGAGACCCAAGGATGGTTCAGATAGTAGCCCTGCTCTCAATGTACTCAGCCTGGGGCTCCTAGGCATGGCCCTGGAAGGGTGGCAGTGGAGGCCTGGAGGAGCCAGGTAACGTTTCGCCTAACAAATTAGCAGAGCGTAAAACACACCGGAAGCCATGGCAGAGATCCACATTCTCGTACGCTGTGTGTAATGTTGCAGTCTTTTTAGAAAGCAACTTAATATTTTCTATTCTTAAAATGTTTTTCAGATATTTAAAATGTTTATGTACTCGACCTAATCGTTTCCTTTCTGAGAATCTATGGCCTGGGAAAGAATCCAAAGTGTGGATGAAGATGTACAAATCTTACATTATGTTATGATAGGCTGTTATGCGGCCACAAAAATCCTGTTTATGAAGAGTTTCTATACTGTAAATTTCACTTGTATCTCTATTATGTAGTTCGTCAAATGTCTTTTGTGCCAGGTACCGTGTTAACTACCAAAACACCCACATATGTAAAAACACGGGGTCACCAACTCTGACGAGCTGTGAAGACCAGCATCCAGGACAGTGAGAGACAGCACGGAAGACCTTAGTGAGGTGGGAGATCAGAAAAGGCCTCTTTGAGGAATTAGGGTTTTTAGTGGAAACCTAAAGAACAGTTAGGGGGTTCTAGTTGCTCCAAAAAAAAAACGCACTGGAGGGAGGAAAGACTGGAGCCAGGAGACAGCTGGAGGCTCCTTCGCAGTCCAGGTAGGAGGCCGCGGCCTGACCCGGGGCAGAGGTGGATACCCGCCAGGCGCGTTTGGCAGTAGACTCGAATGACTTGGCATCAGCGGATGTTGAATGTTAGGGAGGAGGGGCGCCAGGGCTGACTCCCAGGGCTGTGACTTTAGGAAGAGGGTACACGGGTGACAACAGGAGGTTCAGATCTCGGGAAATGACGAGAACATGTCAGGTTTGAGATCCCTGTGAAGCATTAAGAAGCAAGTGTTGAGAAAGCAGCTGAGTGAAGGAGTTTTTTTTAAAGAGACATGAGTAGAGACAGTCGTTTGGGCGCTGGTAGCATAGACTGATCAGCCGGCGCGGGGTGCAGGGGGAGGAGGGAAGGGCACAGGCCAGGCCCGTGGCAGCCCTGACCCAGGTGTGGAGACTTGGACTGTATCGATCTGGGTGGGGTCCAGGAGTTTGTATTTTTAAAAAAGCGTTGAGGTGATTCTCCCGCGCAGCCAGGTCGAAAGCCACAGTGGTAGGATTTGGGAAAAGAAGGAGGAACGAAGGAAATCCAAGGAAACCGACCGAGCGGCCGGAGGGCAGCGAGACGTGAGGGTGGTGCCGTGCTGGTGTTTCAGGGAAGAGCTGTGCGGCCCGCGGCGCTGAACCCCGCAGTGTGGTGTGCCGGTGCGAAGGCCGACAGGCATCCGTTGGATTTGCAAATGGGCAGCGGCAGTGACCTTAGCAAGAGAACTGTGGTGGCGTGTAGCAGCGGAGGCCGTCGGAGTGGGCTGTGGAGTGACGGGGAGGAAGCTCATATCAGTGGTGGTTTCAAGTTCAGCTGTGAGTGGAAACACGGGCAGCAGCTGGGGCGCTGGGGTCTCTTGTTTGCTTAAGATGGAGATCGTGGAAGCCTGTTGGAAATATCGATAGGAATGATCCATTTGATAGGAGAAATTCAAGACACAGAAATGGAACATGGAAATACCGTAAGTCAGTGATATAAACAAAAGACAGGAAAAAACTGGTTGGAAGCATGCCAAATTCATATTACTCTATGCTTTGTACAGTTTTCTGAAGCGAGCACGTATTAGTCTTACTGACTAAAAATTATTGTTTTGAAAAACAATGCATGACTAAAGACTTCGAGTTAAAGATGGCAGGTCGAACGTGTGTTTACTCCCGCCTCCCACAATCCTAAAACAAGAGTGAAGGGACTTTAAAAAGAGTGAATAAGGAGATAATAGCAACCAAATTTTGGAATCCTAAAAGCAAATGCTGGATGATTACTGGTTTCTTAGAAAGCTGAATCAAAATCGGAACTGGGGAAAGCTGAGAACAGGCCCGGTTTGCACTCTCCCCGGCCCCCTGCACTCGGGGCTTAGGAATCGGCACCAGAGACTCCAGTGTCTTTGAAAATGGGGGCAAAGGTGAGGCTACAACAGAGGGTTCGAGGAACTTCTCTTAAAAGAGGCCTTTAAAGGCACCACTCCCCTCGTCACCTCCCCCAGTCCTGGCATCTGCCTCTTCCAACCCCGGTGGGTGACCGAGGCCTATTCTCTGGAGAGGAAGTGATACAGGAGAGTCTCCGGACATGGGCACCGGGCACAACTGAGGGTGGGGTACCACGCTGAAAACAAGGAATAAGCGAAACCTGACGTGCAGATGTTGAGATCTCCAGCCTTCTTTCCTAACCCGGCTCCCCAGACGATGCTGACATCCAGGGATAAACCCTTGGGGCAGGATAGTGGAAGAGCTGGATTTGGAGACCTTGGGTCCAGCCAGGAGATTTCCCAGTGAAACGACCTGGCGAAGTCGTCCTCCTGGGAGGCCATAGTCAGCCCGCCCCGCCTGAGTGCACCAGGCTCAGTTCTCTTCTGAGTGTCCCACCTTTAGTATAAACGGGTGACCAGGAACCACAAGATGTTAGGGAAAAGCCCCAACATAAGAGACCAAAGGAAAAAAGGCAGGAAAAATAAATTTTGAGGAAACAGATATTGCAGAGAGGGAAAAGAAGAATGTTTAAATATATATATGTGTGTGTGTGTGTGTGTGTGTGTGTGTGTGTATATACGTATATAAAACATACACATATAATCCTTATGTAAAAGAAATGAATGCATCCATGACAAAAAAATATAATGCTTATTTTTCTTTAAAAAAAAAGAATAGAAACTCTTGTAAATTAAAAATATAATAATACAAATTTAAAACTCAGTAGCAGTATTAGATGATAATGTTGAGTACACATCTCAAAATAAAACAAAAAGACAAAAAGGAAAACAGACGTCTACAGCCATGCCACCCTGAACA